ATTTGATGGATGGACAGATAAGTGGATGAACTGATGGAAAATGAATGAATGAATGAGCTAAGAGTTATTGAGCATTTGGAATAGACCAGGCATTTATTAAGCCCTTTCTTAGAGCAGTGATTAACAGCCTAGACTCCAGAGCCAGGCTGTCTGGGTTTGCGTACCTGTCATTCATAAGCTCTATGTCCCTGGGAAAGTTACTTATCCTACAGCACAATTTTCTCATCTACAAAATGGGGCTGGTAATAGTACCTACTTATGTTAGTTTGCTAGGGCTGCTGTGGTAAACCACCACAAACCAGTGGGGCTTAAAATAACCGAAATGTATTCTCTCTTAGTTCTGGAGACCAGAGGCCAAAAATCAAGGTATCAGCAGAATCATACGTCCTCTAAAGACCCTAGGAGAGGATTCTTCCTTGCCTCTTCCCACTTCTGGTGGTCCTTGCCTTGAGATAGCATAACTCAAGTCTCTGCCTCTTTCTTCACTTGGCCATCATTTCTCTTAAGTGTCCATGTGACTTTTCTTCTTACAAGATTAGTCATTGGATTTTGGACCTATTCTAATCCCATATGACCTCTTCTTAACTAATTGTATCTGCAAAAATTGTATTTCCAAATATGGTCATGTTCTGAGGTTCCTAATGAACATAAGTTTTGGGGAGACACCATTCAATCCATTACATTACTTTATGGCACTGTTACAAGGATTAAATAAATTATTATAAGGAATTATAAAGTTAATATATATTATGTTAAGTAAAGAATAATATTAAGTTAATGTTATTTAGGTGCTTGTAATCATGCCTAGCTTATAGTCAGGAGTATGAAATATTATTACTGAGGTTGGCACTCTGAAAATGCTTATTGTTTCCAAACGCTTTCTGCTGAATAATATCAATATTCCACTGCCAGTAAAGATGCTGAGTTACTAGATTAATTCATAATAATGCTTGACTGCATCCCTGAAGACACTTCCTTGAAAAACATACATGATTCATACTTCTAGTAAAATGACTAAATAGACGGGACATTAAATGCTAACAAAATAAACTTTCTTTTTCCAAATTCTTCAGATTTTGGTCACTCAGAGGAAAAAAGTGCTGAACAACTTGTTCACAATCATTTTTGTGCAACTAACTCCTTAGGCAGTAGCCTTGTCTGTGTGACTTTTCATGTGGCTAAGCCCCACTTGTCTTTGAACCTAATTTTCCTCCTTAATTTGTTGACTTTTTTGAGTGTATCTTTAGATATAGCATCAAAAGAGGCATTGTTTTGATACAAGGTTATCAAAAGGTTAAAAAAACAAGCTATAGACTATGTTAAGAATAACTCCTAGTTATTTCATGAAATGACAGCAATGAGATACAATCCACTGATACTGAGTCTAGTAAAAATATTGTGTTTTTCATACATGAAGGATATAAACAATAATGCATAAGTATTATATAGTGCCTATGGGCCAACTTGGGAGAAAAATGATTAAGAATCCAATATTTGCCCTGCCACTTATGCAAGGTTATTTTAGAGGAGAGTAAGAAGCTGTGAAATGAAAGCAAATAAGTCATTATTTGTACCACATTTATTTTGTTCACCAATGTGTATCCAGTTATTGACAAAATGACTGATACATAGTTGAGATTCAGCAAATATTTGAGGAAGGAAGATGTGGCTACATTGCTTCCCGGTGGCTAAGAGTAAAAGGAGGAGCTTACTGGTTATTTTTCCGTGGGCTTTGTAAGGTCATTTCCTAAGATGTAAATTTTCTTCAGGGCAGCCTTCATTCCCCTCTTGCTTTTTCTCAGCCTTTCCCTCTTTTTATTTGAAGTAGGTGGTTGGTATGGTTTTGGTGTGGTAAACATGTTGATATGTAACAGAGGGCCAAGAAAAGTGAAGAAAATTAATTTCCATTTCTGCTTGTATTTCCTAAAGTTCTGAGGTGGTCAATTAGCTATCTCAGAATTGTTTGATATCAGGGTGATTGGATTAAATAGATATAATGCAGGTGTCCACCAGAGAATTTTCTATCAGTAGAGCAGGAGTTCTTAAATGCAAGTTCATGAGCAGGCTTAGCACACCTGAGCCACATGAAATTATGTGCAGATTGTGTATGCAGATATAGATTTGGTGTGTGTATGTGCAATTGTTGAAGAAAGATCATTCATTCATCACCTTTATTAGTCTTGAATCCAGATTCCAAATAGGTAGAGAACCACTGAATTCAAAGATTTGTTTTATACTGATTTTGTTTTGTTTCAGAGGTTTGGGTGGGAAAATTCTGAGGAAATGTGAGAGGAAAATGGAAAGTGTATGAAATTATTAAATATTTCCAGATACAGGATCAATTCAAAGGCTTTTTTCTTGAATTACAACACCTCTTTTTTTTAACTTCTTTAGCTGCTCTTTATATGTACTCCACTTCGGAATTTGGGATGCTTAACTCATAGTTATCTCTGGCAGTTGAAATATCCAGGCAGACTGATGTCATTTGTTCCCAGAATGCCATCAGAGCCCTTCTGGGCAAATTCACTGATAAGTCATTGAGCAGGCACAAAAAAGATGATATTTTATGGTGCAATGAGCCATCCTTGCGTAGCTAATTTAGTTCTAACTGAACTTATAAACAGAAAACTAACCTCTAAATAGTGAACCTCTTTAAAAATCTGCATTCTATTTTTCTTTAAATCCTTGGAAATTTTGATTTGTCCTTTGTTTAACTTGAGCCTTTATCTCTTGTCATCTTCTTAACCTTCTGCTCTAATTAAACAATTTTCATGCTTATCTCAAAATCCAATTTTGTGTTATTTTAAGTAATACCTATGTGTGCTCTCAGACGCCTGACTCGGTGACTCAGTTTATAATCCCTGGTATTCACCTTTGTATCTATCAGATTCTCAACTTAAACTGCTGTCGCTGCTGCTAATAAAGCCTCCTGCATTATTTCAGGCAATAATTTAATTCATAGTTATTTCCACCCAATTTACTTATTTGTTGATTCATTCATTGGCAAAACACTTAGAGGCACTTGCTATATGCTAAGAATGCTTCCAGTTGCAGGAGAAACAGAAAGATGAATATTACACATAGATTCATGTTGCCTTGTGCTGAGTTCAAGGCATGTGGCAACCCAAACAGGTCAGAGTTCAGCCTCCAGAAGCGTACAATCTTTATATAAGTTGGGTTACTATTTATTTAAAGCAGTGGTCCTCAACTGGGAAGACTTTGGCCTCCGCCCCCGAGGGACATTTGGCAATTCTGGAGACACTTTTAGTTGTCACAAATAGGGGGCACTGCTGGTACCTGATCAGTAGAAAATGCTGGTAAACATTGGACAATGAACAAGACAGTCCCCTACAGCAAAGAATTATCCAGATCAAAACGCCAATACTGCCTAGGCTAAGGAGCCCTGATTTAGAGTCACACTGATGATTGAGAGAGGCACACTACTGTAAAAGGGAAGGGGGAAGGCCACCCCAGAGGCAGTGGCCTCTCCTCCGAGGTCCTGAGCAAGTTGACTCAGTGAATCGACCCACACTGGAACCACAGACCCTTCTGAGGGGTAGGATTTCCTTCTTCTCAATTACATTTCCATGAAAGAATTAGAGTTCCTCTCTTAAAGACTGGCATCTTGGCTGCTTTCCAGTTGCCTGCTCCTTAATCTGCCTCCTCTGCTTATTCTGAAGGAGCTCATAATTGAGGGTGGAATAAGGATAGGTATACCAAAATCTGTGATGCTGTGTGGTACATACAAAGAGAGTTCAATGAAATTCATGCTGGGAGCACTGAGAAACTAAACTCCACCTGGGGATCTGGGCAGGCTTCACAGATGAGGTGGCATTTGAACAAAGGCTTGGAAGGCGGTGCTCACCATATGGCTGAAAGAAGACACTTTTCTCTTTTAAGCCATACCCTTCGTGATTGCATTTATAACTGGTGACAAGATGTGTTTGGCTGCTCTTTCAGGAAAACCTGCTTTTGTATTGTACTGTATTAAGCAAGACTTCTTTATAAAGTTTGCAGGCCAGGCCCAGCTTTGCAGTGTCTTTCTTCTCACCATCTTTCTATTAAAGATTTTAATAGTAGATGGTTTCAGCTGTGAAATTATAGATGTTAGAGTTTAGCAGTTGCAAGCTCTCAGTGAGTGAAGCACATGTTTTGTTTTTTAAAAAATTTTATATGTATTTCTTTCTGCTGCTGCTCCTACAGATGGCTATGTACTACAGGAAAATCCAGCAGAACATCATTGCCTACAAATTTCTGTTAGACTGCTAAGTACAACATAAAATATGTCAAGCATGGTGGCTCATGCCTATAATCCCAACACTTTGGGAGGCCAAGGTGGGAGGATTGCTTGAGGCCAGGAGTTCAAGACCAGCCTGAAAACATAGTGAGACCCCTGTCTCTAAAAAATAAAAAAATAGCCAGGCATGGTGGCACATGCCTGTAGTCTCAGCTCCTCAGGAGGAGGAGGTGGAGGATCTTGAGCTTCATTGCACCACTGTGAGATGTGATTGCACCACTGTGCCCCAGCCTGAGCAACACAGTGAGACCCTGTCTCTAAGAAGAAGAAGAAGAATGCCATTTTGAAGTTATTAATTGGAAAAATGGCTGTGGTAGATATGGATAAATGGAATAGATGTTGCATTTCTTCTACAAGAAAATAGTTGGGTCTGTCTTCATAATGTAATTATCAATAACTAAATGAATTTCTCTTTTCCCTCTGGAAATTGTGTGTTGATTTAAGGTGCCTATACATTATAGGGAATTTTCTCTCTCAGTTCAGAATGAATTGTGACATCACACAAGGGGTAACACTGTACCATCAAAAATAACTTTTAAAAAATTTGTCCTTTTCTTGGTTCTTTTACAAAGAACTTTCATTCATGCTTCCATGTTAGAAATAAAAGAGTTCAATTATTTTAATTTGGACCCTAAGCTGGATAGTTTATAAACATGCAGATTAGCTTCATTTTTCATCAAAATGTTTCTCTTTTTTATTTTAGTCTGATGCCAACGCAAGTTACTTAAGAGCAGCTCGAGCTGGACACCTTGAAAAGGCCCTCGACTACATAAAAAATGGAGTTGACATCAACATTTGCAATCAGGTTAGTTGGAGTTATTATTGAATTTTTTACTTAAAATTCTAAAAATCCAGACTTCAAACTCCTTAAAAACTTTCTTTCTGTATGTGAGATTTTTTTTCCATTGAATTTTATCAGCTTATCATTGTCAAATTATTCTCTGCTCTGTTAGAAGAACATCCAGAAATGTAGCCATATGTTCCTTAGTTAATTTCTAAAATTTAGTAAATGATGATAACAGAACAACCCATGTAGTTTTCAAGTACTTTGACTCCTAATTCAAGTTCCTGCACATGCAAATGATCATTAGGTAGGACATTAACATATCTCAGGAGTTCCTGATAGGCTGTTTACTGCTCTATTTTCAACCTGCTGAGTAAAGCTTTTCCTTTACTTTTGATCAGAATGGGTTGAATGCTCTCCATCTTGCTTCCAAAGAAGGCCATGTAGAAGTTGTTTCTGAGCTGCTACAGAGAGAAGCCAATGTGGACGCAGCTACGAAGGTCAGTATCACATATCGAATGCTTTTGGTACCACTTGCCATATTCTATGAGAATTCAGCCCGCAGTAAGAATTGGGGCACAACTCTCATATTTGTCAAATTTGTTCTCTTTGAGGATAACAGAAAAATTCAGTAGATCAGTGAGTTGATATATCTTGGTTTTCATTTTACAGAAAGGAAACACAGCATTGCACATCGCATCTTTGGCTGGGCAAGCAGAGGTAGTAAAAGTCTTGGTTACAAATGGAGCCAATGTCAATGCACAATCTCAGGTAAGCATACAACTCCATGCATAGACATTCTGTTACAATTTACAAACAATGTTCTTTGGGTCAGGTGCTTGCTTAGTTCACCTGTCCTCTAAGAACACAATGCTTAAGAACTATTTTTAAAACAGTTATATTATTCCACATTTTGGAAGGCAAAGGCGGACAGATCACTTGAGGCCAGGAGTTTGAGACCAGCCTGGCCAACGTGGTGAAACCCTGTCTGTACTAAAAATACAAAAAAAAAAATAATAATTAGCCTGGTGTGGTGGCACATGCCTGTAATCCCAGCTACTTGGGAGGCTGAGGCACAAGAATCACTTAAACCCAGGAGGCGGAGGTTGTAGTGAGCCAAGATTGCACCACTGTACTCCAGCCTGTGTGACAGAGCAAGACTGTGTCTCACAAAAACAAAGTTAAATTATTTCAGATTATTTAAAATCACATGTATTCTCATTTGCAATATATAAGTGAGAGACAGAGATTTTTAAAGTGGTCTGTCTATAAAAGATAACCAGTCACAGATGCAAATGTTTAAAGAGTATCTGTAATGCAGGGGCTTACACTATTTTATGATATTAGCTTAGGTTCAATCTCAGTATTTATTAACCTACAAAAGAAATAAAGATGCCTATAAATAAGGAAATGTTCTTAAAATTTCAAAATATATCAGTGTTTTATCTGTTTGGGAAAGGGGAGAATATACTTAATCCTTCCTTATAACTAAAGTATCTTTATTGCTGTCTGAAACAGATTTTTTTTTTAAAAAAAAGACGGAACTTTAAGAGTCCTCAAATTTAAAAATTTTCAGATTATTTGTAATGAACATAGGTGCTCCTATAAATCTTACATGGTCTTTCCTGAATTTCTAAGAGGAACACCAACAGCTTATCATTTGATAGACCTTGAGTTTAAAAGAATTAACTTTATTTTGTTTAAAAATATCTCGTTATTCAAGTATTCATTATTTGGGTCCCCCCAGACAGGTCATGTAGGAAAGCAAATATCATCATAATGCAAAAATATTCATTAAGGACCTGACTGCATTTAAAACTGGTTCCCACCGAGACTTTCCTTCCAGCCAAATGCTGACTTCCATCCCTATTTCTCAGTGTCTCCCCAGGGATGTTGGATATTGAACAAATTGATTGTAGAACAAAACTGCAAGTTTTGACAAAGACACTAGATTTCCTGAAGTCAGGGAAAGTGATGTTGGAGAACTTCTGGGTGCACAGAAGAGCCGTGCATACGTAGCACTCTGGCAGCATTAGGCTAGGAAGCATGTGAAACATTAGGATGATTTCCTGATAGCTGTTTCATAGAAGAATGATTTGAGAATACATAGATTAAATGAAGACCAAAAGTTAAGTGAGGTCTTTAGATGGCAAATACTTCTTGCAAAAGATGGTCTTTTTTCTTATGCTGTGAAAATTAAAAAGTGAAGAATTTCAACATATATCATTTTGTTGGGAAAAAATAACACTTGGTTTAGTCTTTGTTCATTCTGAGAACTTATACATGAATGCAGTTATAATCTGTATCATATTAAATCATATAAGCCTATTTTTATAATGTCCAGTTTTATCTTTTAAGAGTAAGTCTGAATCAAACTTTTTTTAAAAATTATTTACTGTGGGCTTTTGCTCTCCATTTTAAATGCGCTTGATTTTACCATGCTTTTCCAGTACTAATTATCTTTGGATATCAAGTGTCCTATGTTTTATGGGTTCACAGAATTGCAGTGACTTCCTCCTCTGTTTACTACAGACATAGCAATGACAGCTCTGATGCCGTGAAATGGCAGAGTCAAAGAGAAGGAACTGCATAGTGCTTCCAACTGCATGGTTCTTGTATATTTGCTGTAAATTCATTCTAGTTTCCTGTGGTTGACCTTTGTTACATGATCTATGCCAATTATCCTGATTCCCTAGGAGAGTTCCCTTGGAGTAATAATGCTTTTCCAGAAAGGAATAATATAAAACTGAATAGCAACAAGCATGGTACTTTGAGAGACGTACAGACCAGCTGCATAACAATAGAAGCATCATGCTTTTAAATGAATTTTTTTTAAAACATTCCAATAATATTTTACTGAAATAAGGCTAGGTAGTTTTAAGCTCTGAGATAGTGAGAAAACTCTTTAATGCATATTTGTTTCTTTTATTATTTTCTCAAGGGAGGAAAAAATAGACCTCCTTCTTTCAAACATCACATCCACTACTGAATAATAGCCATAGTTTTAAACTGACTCTGCAGTGCTGGGGAGAAGCTTCAGTTGAAATAAAATCCTAATCAGTTCTAATTTGAATTTATACACATTCCACACTGATGATGCAGTACGGGAGAAGACCATGTGAAATTCCCTGTTACTTACAGTTGTGCTTGAAATTACCAGCCACACATTGCACAGCAAAGCGTTTCCCCCTTCATCTGGACACCTGCCCTCATCTGCCTTCTGAATTTGTTCTGTGGATGGAATAAGTAATGAGATGAACATGCAAAGGAAGGGAATTTCTATGATAATTCCTGATAACAACTCTTCAGTAGGAGCTTTTATAAAGAGTAACAGGCAACAATGTCAATTCCATTTAGGTAGCAGCACATAAAACAGTACAGAAATTAATATTCAAGAAAGACAGCATCACTATTGACATAAAATTTTAACCCATAGGCAATATTTAATAGCTAACAAAATATAGTGTAAAAAGAGCCCCTTACTCTTCATTATAAAAATTCTCATCTTAAACATAAAAATAACATTGGGGAATATAAAGTTCTCATCTTATAAACTAAGGCATTATAAACCAGGAATTTCTAGATTTTAAGGTAATTTTTATCATTGCCTTGATCTTAGGTCCTAACAAGTTAACCCTTTCTTTTATTACTTAACATTCCAGTCATCATTGAGTCCTACTCTGAGAAAGAAATTTAGTTGATTAAATTGTGATAATAAGGAATTCTATTATTAAATCCTTAATACTTTATACTGGATAGATCAACAATGATTAACAATGTTTGCTGTTGAAAAATCTCAAACTGCACAAATGACATCCTCCACTCTTCCTTCTTTCTCTGTCTTTATAATATAAAGCACCAACTGAATTTATAAAGAAGCAAAGTCTGTTTCCAATAACATTCTAACTGCCAAAGTATTTTAAATGAATGGATTTTCATGGTGGTATTTGCAAAGGTAACAGCCTTTAAGTTAGCCAGTGCTTCCTTGGTCTTTCTGGGTACTCTGATATTCCCTATGGTGGGACAGTTTGATCCTGACAAAGTTAGACAGTACAAGTATGGGACTTTGGGAATGGTTCAGATTGAGCCTTTGTGACCTTACATTGCAACTCTAATCTAACTGACTTTCATGAAAATTAGTAGTGTACAGGAATCAATGCAAATCTTTCACCATACCCTTCACATCTTAATTAAGAACAGCACTTTATGAGGTGCAAAGGCTAGCCATAGAAAACTAGAATGAATAGAAAAATTTCATGGATGAAATATAAGCCCTTCCCCAAGTGAAATCATAGGAATACTTATTATTTTCTTTTATTTTGGTGTGTATTAGACAGCATTCCTCAGTACTATCTACAAAATTATAAGTCTGCAGATTTACGTGCTTATAATAGCACCACTATAAACATTCAGAGCAGAAGGTATTGAATATATTGGATAAATTCAGACTTCAAATAGCATACTCACTCCATCTAAGCTGCTCTGCCTTTAGAGAATTTAATCTGTTGTTGCTACAGAAAAGAAAATGCAAATTGGGCACCCGTATATTCCTTTTTAGCTAGCTTTGTTTTGGAAATGTTCTAAATTAGGAAGTTACTATAAAGACAGTGGTATACTTTTTTCTGTTATTTTGAAATCTGACCATTCTCCCAATCCACGTGCCATTTCACAGCGAACAGTTATGGTTCTAGGTTGTCTAATGACAACACACTGAGTTAAGGGTGTCTCAGCCTCTTTGAGCTAGGGAGTGATGGGAGTATTTTTATTCACCCTTTCCAAAGGACACTTCTGATTTTCTCTCTAGAATCATAACTAAATGGCATGTATGTGTTCTCATGTCTTGACCATTTCTTGAGACATAAAATTTGTAATTTGGGGTGTTATTTGAATTAAAGGAACAGAAATTAACTTAAGCACAAGAGGAAATTTCTTGAAATTGCTTGGGGGACACAGAGAATAGAAAGCTAAAGAAGCTTTCAGAAACCTTTGGAAACCCCATAGCTGGGGTGGAGAGTATGAGAACATAGTGAGAAGCAAGAGAGTAGGGCTGCCCTCTGACCTGGTTCCTACAGGTCAATCAAGGGTGGACCTAAACGAGAAAACAGAAGATAGCCTACATGTGTGTCTACTCTGTAATTAACGGAGGGCAAGCTCATTTGTCTCAGTCCATCCAGGACAAGTCCTGTCTGCATAATAGGAAGAAGTAATTCTCTAGAAGAAAATAGGGGTGACATTTTCCCGAAGGGGAAACGGGTATGAGGACTGGTGACAGAAACTAAAGCAAAATAAAATAAGCACCCACACTCTACAAATGACCACTCTAAAATTGAAATTTCCACCATGAGAGACTCACCAAAAACATTTTATCAGTATAGAGAGCAGAAATAGCATAAGAAGGCCACGTACCATGCTCACACCTGCAATCCTTTGGAAGGCCAATGGAAGGCCAAAGCAGGAGGATCACTTGAGGCTAGAGTTTGAGACCAGCCTCAGCAAGATAGTGAGACCCTGTTTCCACAAAAATAAAAAAGTTACCCAGATGCGGTGGTGCATGCCTGTAGTTCTAGCTACTCAGGAAGCTAAGGCTGGAGGATCACTTGAGCCCAGGTTAAGGCTGCAGTGAGCTATGATCATTACCACTACACACTGGGCTGGGCGGTAAGAACAAGACCCTATCTATATTAGTCTGTTCTCATGCTGCTAATAAAGATATACCCAAGACTGGGTAATTTATAAAGAAGAGGTTTAACTGACTCACAGTTCCACATGGCTGGGGAGGCCTCACAATCATGGTGGAAGGCAAATAAGGAGCAAAGTCATGTTATACATGCTGGCAGGCAAGAGAGCTTGTGCAGGGGAACTTCCATTTATAAAACCATCAGATCTCATGAGATTTATTCACTACAAGAACAGTACGGGGGAAACTGCCCCATGATTCAATGATCTCTACCTGGCCTTGCCCTTGATATGTGGGGATTATTACAATTCAAGGTGAGATTTGGGTGGGGACACAGCCAAACCATATGACTATCTCTTAAAAAAAAATGAAAGAAATAGCATAAGACCCTTCAAGGACAGATATTGTATGATTATGTTTATCTATAATAACCAGAATAGACAAAACCATAGAGACAGAAAGTGCATTAGTGGTTACTAGGAGGAAACGGGGAGTGATTACTAAGGAGTATAGGGCTTCTTTTTAGGATGATGAAAATGTTCTAGAATTAGATAGAAGTGTTGCCCAATTTTATGAATATACTTAAAGCCACTAAATTGTGCACTTTAATAAAGTGAGCTTTATGACATGCAAATTATATATCAATAAATATTTTAAAAATCAGAAAACAAGCAAGAATGTGGCCATTCAGAAAATGATCAGCTCTCAGGTAATAATCTTAGGATGGCAAGTACTCTAAAAGAAGGCGGAAAGCTATTGTGGAAAACAATAGAGCCAGACATGTGTAGATAGACTAGTGTTTCTTAGGCAGTCTTGGACCATAGCAGACCTCCACCCTGGAGCTGAGAATGAACTGGCATTACTTGTCGTGACATAAATATCTTGTTGATATTTATGTCTGAGAGGAGAACATTTATTTTGGAACTATTAAAAAAAAAAAAAACTTTACCCCTAAAAATCTGAACCTGCCCTTTCGAAGTTTCAGCTTTCAGAAAGAGAACACTGGATGAGGGAAGATAGACACTTAGTACTTAGTTTAGCTATGAGAAAAAGCCAACTGGTTTTGGCCTTTCTTTTCTTTTTTGTTTTGTTGCTTAAAAAATGTTTAACTAAGGATGTAATGACCTTTCATTTTGGTCAAATTAGAAAGTGAGAAAATAGCAATATGATGAGGGTAATCCTAAACTCCCTTTCAGTTTCACTCACAGTGCTGGGAAGAGGGACAGAGATGAAAGACACACAGGCCTATGGACACACACACAAACACACACACACACACACACACACACACAGGCCTATGGACACACACACACACACACACACACACAGTGTTCCAAATACTCCATGCTTCATGTTTAAATGTGGTAGAGTCTTTCATGATAGAACAGAGTAACCGTGGGTTCCAGAGATGTTACCAGGTAGACAATTTAAAAGCAAGAAGATTGAATGTGATGTTGCATTCCACTGCCTCTAATTTTGTGTTTCTAGTCTGGAGCTTGGCAACCAGATCACCTAACTTGTTACAATTGTGTGCCAAATAGAGGAAGTAGAATAGAGGAACTCTGATAAGTACACAGCCATGGTGGATTTGTTATGTGGCATCAAATTTATCTACTCAAGGATCTTTTTAACTTTACTTTCTAGTTCTCAGTTATAAGCCAAAAGCAGTGTGTTCACCAGAGGCTGAACTTATGAATAAGTAAGGTAATCATGTAGTAGTTGATATTTACAATAATCTAAATCTTTTTGTCACAAAAGTTTGAATATTTGTTAACATTGTAGTTTAGAATATATTTACTTTTAGTCTTTGAAATTGCACAATGTATACAATAAAATTTTTAGAATATTCGGTTAAATAGAATTGCATTTTGAAAAGTGTATTCAAAACTAATTTACTGGCTGGGTGTGGTGGCTCATAATTGTAATCTAGCACTTTGGGAGGCCAAGGCAGGCAGATGGCTTAAGCTCAGGAGTTCAAGATCATTCTGGGTGACACAGGGAGACACAATCTCTATAAAAAATATTTAAAAATAAATAAATTAGCTGGATGTGGTGGTGCATGCCTGTAGCCCCAGCTACTTGGGAGGCTGAGGCTGAAGGATCGTTTGAGCCCAAGAAATTCAGGCTGCAATGAGCTGTGATCACACCACTACATTCCATTCTTTTTGTTTTATTATTATTATTTTGAGACAGGGCAACAAGTGAGACCCTGTTCAAAATAATAATAAAACAAAATATTATAGTTTGAAACTGCAATTCGTTTGATGTTTATATCTTCATATAAGATTTTAAAATAGTATAGTATTTCATAGATATGAAATATATTCTTCTAGAAAACATGTATATGCAACATATTTTTAATAGGGAACTTAAGATGTAATATGCATGTTAATTTGCTTGGATCCAATCTCTTTGAGAGTTGATGCATTTTTCAGAGAGGCACACACACACACACACACACAAATTAAATATATGTGTATATGTATGTATGTATAATATGTATGGATATATGTATTCTGCACATAAAAATACCTTGGCAAAAAAATACAAAGGAAGGAAACCTACAAAAAACAGACTATGAATTAGATTGAATCATACCATTATGCAAATTGGCATTTCTTTTTTTGCTCTAAAGACCACATCTGTGATAACCTTGAAGCTATTTGAGATTAATATAAATTCATTCCCGTGTCAAAACTACTTCAGATGCTTACTTTTGTGTGAAAATATTACATGTTTATTTAAAACAGATAATTAAGGCTTGGGAGCTACAATGACGAAATGTGTTTTCTTCATATTCTCATGGTGTCTAGTAAAATACTTACTCATGGTAGGCTCTCAATAAGTGGCTGATGACTAAGTGAGTGTACTTATTTAAAGAGGGTAAATGCTTTGAATTATACTTGGACTATTAACTATAAACTAACTATGACCTATACTAAAATTATGAATTATAAAAAATAATTTTGAATTACACAGATTAGGAATTTAGCTTAAGTGATGGTGCTTGGGTTTTCTAATAAATATTAATATCTATATGAAAGTATTAAAGTTATTGTATGTGAGTACTTCTTAGAGCATAAATCATTGGTATAATGGAAAAATAGATTATCTTGGAAAGCTGCAGATTAACATTGTTTTTCTTATTTTGTAGAATGGTTTCACGCCATTGTATATGGCAGCCCAGGAAAATCACCTGGAAGTTGTCAAGTTTCTTCTTGACAATGGTGCAAGCCAGAGCCTAGCCACAGAGGTAAGTCATTTTGGTTTTTTTCCCTATGGGTAAGTTCACATATTTACAGGGAATTTTGAAAACCTGGAGTTGAGAATTTGTCCTACTAGTATTTCATTTGAAGATGTATATTAATGTGTGGGTTCATAAGTTTTATGAAATACATTACTAAATCTTTCAATCTTTAAATCTGTCATCTTTTAATCTTTAAAAATCTTCTGTTGCATAGATACCTTTTCTGTTCTTAAATGCCCAATTCTATGCTAAAGTTGTGCTATTGTTTTATTATTTAGCATATTTGCTTGAGAATTCTCTTTTGTCTTACAATTTTGCCTCATGGGCAAAGGCAATAATTGTTTTGGAATAACTGATTTGAACTATCATTTCAATAAAACATTAGCTTTAAATTGTTTTTTTCCAAATTTAAGTTAACCTAATTATGATGATTGACTTTGTGTGTTTTTTAAGTTGAGACTTAATTCATACTTATAAATAAAACCATTAGACATTTTTTTTTTTTTGAGACAGAGTCTTGCTGTATCTCCCAGGCTGGAGTGCAGTGACACAATCTCGGCTTACTACAACCTCCACCTCCCAGGTTCAAGGGATTCTCCTGCCTCAGCCTCCCAGGTAGCTGGGATTACAGGAACCTGCCACCACACCCAGCTAATTTTTATATTTTTAGTAGAGATGGGGTTTCACCATCTTGGCCAGGCTGGTCTTGAACTGCTAACCTCATGATCCACCTGCCTCAGCCTCCCAAAGTGCTGGGATTACAGGTGTGAGCCACCATGCCCAGCCAAAATTATTATACATTTTAAAGTGTTAAATAGACATGGTATTTGAAGAAAAAAAACTTTGCAGTCTATAATAGATGAATTATTAAAAAATAGAAAGTTATTTAAGCCATTGATACTGTCTTAGGTAATGTTTATTTTTAAAACTAATCTGGATGGAAGACTGGAATCACTTAAGCATGTCACCAAATATCTATTGCTAATAATAAAGGATTAATATATGAGTATTTTTTATTTCTAACAAACAGTGAATTAGAGCAGATGCAGGGTTATCCTTATTATAAACCACTACTCATGCTGATATGATTCCTGAGTGGCACAGAAAAGACGGCAATAGAGGAACTGCATCTAATCTCAGTTTTTGAGATTATACCTTCTAGGGAAACCACTACATAAATTAAGAGATAGCTCACACAAAAGATATACAAACAACCATAAATATATGAAAACTTCTCATCCTCATTGATATAGTCAAAGAAATATTTATTAATCAGATTAAAAAAATCTTATCTTTTGTCAGTGAGACTAAAAAATAAATTGTTAGAGTAAGCCAGAACTTTCCTACAACACTGGTGAAATTGATTGTTGGTTACAACACTTTTGCAGAACATTTGGCAGTAACTAACAAAAATTAATATTTACAAAACCTTTTACTTAGCAGTTCCACTTCTAACAATTCATATTATAGAAATACCAGATATATAAACTATATATTATAGATGTATTTGCATTAGGATACAAAAATAGTAGACAAGAATGTTTGTCAACACAATTAGTAGCTGCAATTTCTAAAAATCAGAAAGAATCAGCCAGGGGTTGTGGCTCATGCCTGTAATTCCCACATTTTGGGAGGCTGAGGCGAGCGCATCACAAGGTCAGGAGATCGTGACCGTCCTTGCCAACATGGTGAAACCCCATCTCTACTAAAAATACAAAAAAATTAGCTGGACATGGTGGCGCACACCTGTAGTCCCAGCTACTTGGGAGGCTGAGGCAGGAGAATTGCTTGAACCCAGGAGGCGGAGATTGCAGTGAGCCGAGGTCGAGCCACTGCACTACAGCCTGGGTGACAACCTGGGCAACAATGCGAGACTCTGTCTCAAAAACAAAACAAAACAAAACAAAATCAAAAAGAATCTAAATATACCACCAGTAAGAATCCTGTTTATTCAGAACTACTTGGCTTTGAAAGGAACTGAAAAGAAACCTGTTAATAAATGTTCATATATTTATACAGTAACATGCCATTCGGCACTGTTAAAAATGAGACAAGCCTCTGATATAAGAAAACGTCCATAGTAGATTGTTATCAGTGGTTTGCCCTGAGAATTAGGAGGGAGCCTTTGTACCCATCAGCACTGTTGGGGATTTTTATACCCATTTTTTCATTCTATACCCATCCATACTTTAGGGGATTTTTATCATGAGAATGCTATTTTTAAAAATAGTATTCTTAAAGCTAGTTAAGAAATAACTACTGGTTGATATCAAAATAATAAACATTTAGCCAGGTGCAGTGGTGCACACCTGTAGCCCCAGCTCCTCAGGAGGCCGAGATGGGATGATCACTTGAGCCTAGAAGTTTGAGGATACAGTGCTCTGTGGTTGCACCGTGAGTAGTCACTACATTCCAGCCTGGGCAACAGTGAGACCCTGTCTCTAAACAAACAAAAAAGAACAAATGTTTGCTAGGTAGAGAACGGTGCCTCTCTTCACACTCAAGAGTAGCTATTCAAAGAACAGTACAATGCACATATTGTGTCATAGTGTGCAGGGGAAAGAGAGACAGTCAGGGGCTGCTGGCTAAGGGAAAACCCATCCTCATTTTTGGATGGAAATATTAAGCAATATAAATAACCTAATGAAAGCGATTCCATAGCTGTCTTTGTACAGATGGTGTGGTACTCTTTTTTTACACTGTGATGTACAGATCACTGTCTCTCCTTTAGAAGCAAATATAACCCCAATTTACTGCTAATAGATTTGAATTAGCTTGTAAACCAATTGCCAATAACTCTCAGACCTCTCTAGTACTTTTTGAAGTTTTCAAGGCCCAAAAAGAAGCCCTACAACTAACTTAAAGAAAAATAGTATGTGAGATCTTCAAATCGCTACTTCAGTCTTTTGGCCAAGGATATATATTTTAAAAGCTTTTACTCCTTTACATTAATTTGATTTCATGTTATTTTTGTAGTTTTATGGGAAAAAACAATATTGTGTCTAATAAGTGATGTTCATGTCTTCAAGGAGGTTGGTATTATATTGCTGTATAAACAGCACCTAATTTCCTAGAGATGTTTGAACTTTTGAATTTTTTCTCTTCTTTTGGATTATTGGTATCAGAAAATAAGAACAACAGGAAATAAGACATTTTATTGAAATGATATTCTAATTACTGCATTACACTCTTATTAGCAATAATATTGGTATCATTTATAGAAAATTCTGTATTTACAGAACAAACAGTAGGGGACAATTAAAGGATCCTTTAAATAGCACATTTTTGATAGAATCTTTAATTCACTACATAATCGGATATTGCCAAATTCTTTCAAATGTGTGTTTTTCAGTAAGCCTGGCACATTTCGAATCTTGTATATGTGTGGCAAGACTTCAATATAATTGTGGTTTTGAAAACTTTTTTATATTACTGTGTACTGTATATTATATCTTTTCTTTCTATCTATCTGTCTTATCTTCCTCTTGCTAATTATGATTCTGAAGCATGCAGTAGATTTGTTTATTCATTTATTTCATAAGTAATTATTAAGCATCTATTATGTTTCAGACACTGCACAAGGCAGTGGATCTCATTGGGTAACCAGGGGATGGACCCTTTTTTCAAGTAGCCTGTATCATATTTCCTTTCTGCTCATTTTTATCTTAAGAATAACCACACACAGCAAACCACACCGTTTAAACTTGGTTTCGAAACAAAATCTGGAGCTGCTAATTTTAGCTGTCAACATCTTAGAGCTGGTATCTTTGTATCTTTAATTGGCTTATGCAGGAAACATATTTTTGTCAGTGCTAATCGGCTCAGTTGCGTTTTATTTTCTGGTACAAAATAGTTTCCTTTATGTATAGGTCCTGTGAATTTTAAAATTCACCTCAGTGGAAATGTAGCCATTTTGTTTGGATTCACAACAGAAGTGGACTGTCATTTTTACCCCTTAGGTTTTGTTCAGGTTTTTAAAGTGAGATGCAAAATTAAATCTTAAAACACAATTTTCCTTTTGCCACACTCTCATTTAAACAATGCATATTTCCTTTTTTTTTTTTGCAAAAGTAACACATTACATAAATGAGAATGTACAATGAAAGGCAAGAAGTCTGTTTGTCCTAGAGATACATTATACATGTACACATTATATACATATATGTACACATTTTCCTAGAGATACATTGCACATGTACACATTATATACATATATGTAGCTTAATGAAAACGTCTATTTACATTGATATCTAGACTACTTGTCTTATATATTCTAAAGGTTCTGTCTTTAAGTGTAAACCTGTGATATCATTTTAGTGACATCTTGGATGTATCCAGTCTTTCCCGGTTTGTTATCGTTTGTTATCCCCCTTTTTTTTTTTTTTTTTGAGACAGAGTCTCACTCTGTTGCCAGGCTGGAGTGCAGTGGCACCATCTCTGCTTACTGCAACCTTTGCCTCTTGAGATCAAGCAATTCTCCTGCCTCAGCCTCCCAAGCAGCTGGGACTACAGGCACGTGCCACCACACCCAGCTAATTTTTGTATTTTAGTAGAGATGGGGTTTCACTATGTTGGCCAGGATGGTCTCCATCTCTTGACCTTGTGGTCCTCCCTCCTCAGCCTCCCAAAGTGCTGGGATTACAGACGTGAGCCACTGCGCCCAGCCCTTGTTATCCTTCTTAAGGCTTCCGGGAATATCCTTCTAGATGCATTGGTTATATTATTGTTTTCCTTTTTCCTGTTGTCTTGGGTAGTAAAGTTGAAAGAAACAGGTGGCATTTAAGCCAGATCTTGAAGCATAGTGGATAGATGGGATGTGTATACATAGGGAGATGAAGGGGGCATTTCAGGGTTGGGGAAATAACATGAGTACAGGTGTCAGAAGAGAATTAAGTCTGTATGAATTAAGACACTGGTAGAAAAGATTTATCGGGGAAGATACTGAGCAATAATGCCACTTAGGTGCTTTGGGTCAATGTTTTGCACATCTTGAGTATAAGTATAGTGATTTACGTTCAACCAAATGATTTATAAGAGCCTTTCTCTGTATTCTAGCAAGGGAAAGAGTATTGAACGGGATGTTTTAGGAAGACCTAGGTGCATACGTGCTCCTATATTGTTTTCCAAATGCTCTTCTGTACCACAGGACTACAGAAATAAAATATCATGACCCAAATAAAAATCATAAGTCACTTGCATGCCAGTTCTCTAGTAAAAATAAATAAATAAATAAATAAATAAATAAATAAATAAATAAATAAATGCCCTCTTGATTATATAATAATGAAAACATTGCGGAATTACAATTTCTAAGCCAGTCTTAGAATTTTCTATCCTATGCTGTTTTTTCTGCATTCAACAACTCTAGTTAATCCACAAATTAATTAACTGCAGTGAAATCTGTAGCTGTGTCCCCTTTATCAAGTCTCAGGGTAACATAAAAAGAAGATTCAAAAAGTATAGAGTATGTATGTGTGCACTTATGTCTAAATTTATTCTAAAGTCATGTTTTAATCAAATCCATAGAAGCCAGGAGGAACATGGTAGTTATCAGAGGCTAGGAACTGGGAGTAACGGGAAGACAGGAGGTAATGGTCAGAAATGAGGAATAAGTTTCTGTTTTTGTTTTACTTGTTTTGAAATCTATCGCACAACTTGGTTAACAGAGTTAGTAATAATGTATTTGTACATATCAAAATTGCTAAGAGAATAAGGTTCAAATGTTCTCACCACAAAAAATAAGTATTTGTGGCGATGAAGATGTTAATTCTCTGGATTTGATCATTCCACTTGTATTCATAAATCATAATATCACTTTGCATCCTACATTTGTAATATAATTTTTAATTTAAAATAAAATTTAAAAAGAAAAAAGACAACCAAAATAAATAGAGTCATGTCTGCATGATCTTTGTGTTGTCTTCTCTCACTGGTCACAGAAGCCAAGGTCTTTCTCTTAGCTCTCGAGACCTTAGTCTCTATAGACTTTTCGTAAAGCAGCAATGAGTACCATTCATGAATTCATGTATCCTGACAGCACTGGGAATACGCGAGGCAACAGGGCACAGAAAAAGTTGCCATAGTATCAACCAGACAGGCCTATATCTCAGTTTTTAAAAATCTGATGATTTTTAAAATAATAATGAACCAGACAGCCCTATATCTCAGTTTTTAAAAATCCGTGGCAATTTTTACATCTTACTTAAATGAGTTCCTGAGATATTTTTTTTTTTTTTAGACAGATTCTCGCTCTGTTGCCCAGATTGGAGTGCAGTCGCATGGTCTCTGCTCACTGCAACCGCCACCTCCCAGCTTCAAGCAATTCTCTTGTGTTAGCCTCCCAGATAGCTGGGAATACAGGCGTCCAGTGTACCCAGCCACTTTTTGTATTTTTAGTAGAGATGGGGTTTCACCATGTTGGTCAGGATGGTCTTGAACTCCTGACCTCTAGCAATCCACCCGCCTCTGCCTCCCAAAGTGCTGGGATTACAGGCATGAGCCACCCAGTCCTGAGATTATTTTATGGATGTTGACATTATGACAACTTCTTTTTTATGTAATATTTTTGTACATTTTCAAAATTTTCCCAATTGATATATATTACTGTTTAATGGGGGAAAAAAATAAAATCCGTGAACTTATTACAAAGTTCTTAGGGGTTTTTGCTTTGGTTGTGTGTATGTGTATGTGTGTATGTGTGTGCACACACATACACACATACACACACACATATATATATATATATATAGAGAGAGAGAGAGAGAGAGAGAGAAAGTATCTTTTTACATTTCTCTCCATTTGAATATGTTGTTTGCTTTAATAACCCCAAACAAAAATTGATGCTTGTTCACTTGGTTGCCTTCTTATTTGTTAATTTCATAAAAAAGAAAATATTTATTGGAGCCAGTATTGACCCATCCATTTACTTGCAGGATGGCTTCACACCATTGGCAGTGGCTTTGCAACAAGGTCACGACCAAGTCGTTTCGCTCCTGCTAGAGAATGACACCAAAGGAAAAGTGCGTCTCCCAGCTCTTCATATCGCGGCCCGAAAAGACGACACGAAAGCAGCCGCCCTGCTGCTACAGAATGACAACAATGCGGATGTGGAATCAAAGGTGAGGCGCGAGAGCCACGGGCTTGTCATGCAGCTCTCCTGTGTTGGTCTCCCTCTTGGCAAGCTTATGCCACACCCTTAACTTCACTGAAGGGAGGAAAAAAATGTGTGTCCGAGCTAGCCACTGAAGGCATAGCCTCCCTTCACATTAGAAGCTGGGACTGAGGAAGCTATGGCCCTATGCGTGCTAAAAGGGAGGCCACCCCAAAAGAAGTCAATTTCTATACAGTGCTTATTTCCTTCCTTTGAATATAGTTTTGGAACATATTCAACACTTCAGCTCAAACATCAGGGTAAAAAATTACAAAATGCTAAAGACAGTGTATGCAGCAGACCTCTGTTTGATACCCAAGGTGACAGGTCAGGCACTGAGCATAGATCAGCTGCGGAGCATGCCAGCCGCAAGAGAGCCACAGCCAAAAATTTCCATCGTCATGATGTGTGGTACCTGAAAGTCTCTGTGACTGAAATGTGGCGTTTGGACCAGGCCGTTGCGTAGCCCATCATTCAGTCTAGCTTTCTTTCTGTGCCTATTGTGCTTCCGTCAGAGCCTCCATCCTCATTACTTAGCTGTCATGAGCTTTCTGCAGTCCATATCACCAATAGTGAACTAACCGTTCATTTTTTCCTCCTCTTTGCTTCCAAATGTGTTAACCTAGATGGTGGTGAATAGAACAACAGAGGTATATATACATATATATATGCATATACGTGTAGTCTATATCTGCATCATCATTTTCCCATTACTTAGTGCTGCTGCCTCATGTCTCTCCCTTCTTCTTTGCATCGCCTTCTGTAGGCTAGATACCTGCTTTATCCCTGATCCCTCCTCCCCCAAAAGGAGCATGTGCCAGATAAGATAGCAGTAGTTTGACTACCAGGGCTTTCTGCAGCTGAACCTGGTGTTTGAAAGAGAAGAATGAGGAATCCTTGACTCTTAAGGGTATTGTAATAGAGCTGTGTGAGATGAAGAGTTTGGCCACTTTAGATGTTTATCAGCTATATCTAAAGCTGCAGACAACCCTGTCATTCTACTCACCCAGGACTGGTTTCTTAGGGTTGTGCATGACACTTACCCTCTGTGGTGTCAGCAGAAGGAAAGGTATTTCAGAATGGCATCAGTATGACCCACCCTTCTCCAAGAGTCAGTGAGATAGCTAGCATGGCTAAGAAGCTTGCTAACAAATTAGAAATGCATCTAGTTCCTACAAGGTTTCAATCTTTGGGGACTAAGTGAATCGCTGCATGTTTTAGCATTTTTAAGGAAGTAAAATGACCTTGGTATAAACAATCCAGAAACATGTGTTATTGAATAGGTGTTTGCTAACAAACAGATTAACTTGTGGATTCTTTGTGGAATACAGTTGCCCATTATATAAAACCAATTTTGTGGTATTACCTCTTCCCCCAAAATTGCTTTTGCCATTAAAATTGGCGTTTACTGTTGGTTGATTTGCATCTGTATCAAATATATGAACTAATTGAATTTTGAGTTTCAATGCGCAATTCTATCATCAGTAATAAACAGCGGTACTAATCAAGCTATCAGCTATAACGATTTTTCTCATCATCTCTTAATTTTTTGAAATGTTGGCTTTTATATAGTTCTGTTACTGGATTACTAAAATTGCTCAGTCTCCGCCCTTGGTTCCTCCCTGGCTGTTCTTCTGCCTATAAGTATAGGGTTTATTAGAAACCCTGTGAGCAATTGGCACTGATCGAAACCTAGTACAGAATGGAACACAGACCTCAGCATATTTTGCTTCCTCATTTTGATTTGGGCAGGGCTATGATATTTGCCTGTCTGACCCGAGGCCAGCAGGAATCAATTGAACGTCTGCTGTGTTTTCTTTACAGAGTGGCTTCACTCCGCTCCACATAGCTGCTCACTATGGAAATATCAATGTAGCCACGTTGCTGTTAAACCGAGCGGCTGCTGTGGACTTCACCGCAAGGGTAAGAGCACAGCCATGTGTCCTGCCTTTAAAGCAATTGAAATGATTTTACACTCTCTTTTCCCAACATGAGGAGGCTGGAACAAATGACCTCCAAGAGTCTTTCCAGTCAGTGAAGGCTATGACTTTCTACTCATCCTAGTGAATGTTCTTGCTTTTACATAGGTGTGCCTGATTCCTAACAGGAGAGGTAAACCAAGATCAGGAATGCTAGGTGGGTTGAGTGATAAATAAATATATACATGCATATATAGAAGATGTGATTCAAGGAATCATGGCTGGGACAACAAATGAAGTTGAAATTTTATTTTAGAAGTTGAAATTTCTGAAACCCTTAGAGATTGGTCAGCTGGCACTTGATGCTCTAGAGATCAGGGTCTTAACCTTACAATGGTAATGTTCTGGAGTGTCCGAGTGAGGCCTTAATTACAGAAGTCAAATAATGAGACCATCTTTTGCCTTTATCTTCTGACCCCTACAAACTTTCATAATAAGTAACAAGGTTGTGTAACCTGAATAAGGTCATATCCATTGGAGAAAGGAATTACAATGTTACATGGCCCACAGCACGGCAGGCTAGACATCCAAACAGAGTAGTACTGCCCTTTCTTTAAAAACTGCTGTTCAGCTTGATCATCAGAGACACTATCGGAAGTACAAGCGAAGCCAGAGGAAGGATCAAGTAGTGGCTGAAAGTCTGGACTGTGACTTGAGACTCCTTGGGTTCAAATTTTGGCTTTCACTTTTCTCCCTGTGTCCATCAGTTTCCTCATTTATAAGATGAATAATGAAATTAAATAAACAATTATAAAATATCACCTCTCCCTCATTAAGCCACTGTGAAAATTAAAAGAAATAGCGTATGTAAGTCACTCAGCCAGTGCCTGACATGGTATCATCACTAACAGCAGCAGCAGTAGTGTATTCATCTGTTTTCACATTGCTACAAAGAAGTATCTGAGATTCGGTAATTTATAAAGAATAGAGGTCAGATGGCTCCTGGTTCTGCAGGCTGTACAGGAAGCATGATACTGGCATCAGCTCGGCTCCTGGGGAGGCCTCAGGAAACTTAGAATAATGGCAGGAGGCGAAGCAGGGGCAGCACATCACATGGCCAGAGCAGGAGTCAGAGAGCCAGAAGAGAGGTGCCACACACTTTTAAATGACCAGGTCTCACGAGAACTCCCTCACACACTTTTAAATGACCAGGTCTCGCGAGAACTCCCTCACACACTTTTAAATGACCAGGTCTCGCGAGAACTCCCTCACTATCATGAGGACAGCACCAAGCGGATGGTGCTAAACCATTCATGAGAAATCCTTCCCCCTGATCCAGTCACCTCCCACAAGGCAGCACCTCCAACACGGGGCACTACATTTTAACATGAGATTTGGGTGGGGACATACATCCACAGCGTATCAAGCAGCACTGTGATTTTGAACATAACATTTGAAGTATTATTTTTTGCTGGACGCTCACTTCTTAGAAGAGAAATGGAACTAGATTGGCTAGGGAGACAGTGTATAATGCCAGCACCAGCAGTACAGTGATAGTTGCATCAGCAGTAAAAATAATATGATTTCTGAAGTAGTTCCTGACTGGAAGATGCCAGGCTGTGCATTTTATCTAACACATCCTAATATAAGGAAAGGCATAAATTATGCTTATTTTGCAGAAGAAGAAACCTAGGCTTAAAGATAAGAAGTAGCTGCTTTAGGATCATGGCGCTAGCAGATTGGAAGAGGCAGGATTTCACCCCCAAATCTCCTAACCACTATTCTCTTCCCTATGCAACTTAAAAGGGGTTTATTTTACTTTTCCTCTTGTAATTCATTCATTCCGTAAAAATTAATAAGGGCTGAGACTGTACTAATAGAAAAGTTGTTTCCTACCCTATTGTCACGAGTTTGCTGAACATCTTCATCAGTTTAAATGACTGGAGAGCGACAGCCAATTTTATTCACAGTTTTTCTCACTGCATTAACTACATCCTTAATGTGGCAGATCCAAGGCCTAGTTTGACACTTTGAAGGACAAAGTTAAGCACTTCTTTAAGTCAGTTAGAAACATGGTGTGTCAATGTTGAAACTGAAGTTCATTTCAAGATGCATTCTTCTGGTTTTATTTCTGTGATTCACAGCATAATAAAAACCTCATTAAGTTACATCTTCTAATTAGGACATTTGGAAAATTTATGTCAGGGTGCTGTTTGAAGTTTGTCTTTGCCTTTGTTTGGAGATTTCCTGAGGTTGCTGAAAACAAGAGGATTGGAGAAATGTTTAAGCAATTTAAGAAGACGTATTACAGTATTTTCGGACTTTTCCAAGTGATTCTAAAGTGTCCATTTGCATTAAAACAATGACTCTGGTAATGACAAAAGATGCTTATTTATGGATTAAAAAACCAATGGAGATATCAGACCCAGGTTGTTAACCTTTGTGAGTCACCGTATATGATTTAAAGTACGTACACTGTGCTTCTGTTTAAAATATGTTAAAATTCAGACTTTTCACTGATTCAGAAATGCATTTTCCCTAATCTTTCCTAGTTAATGATGTCTAATAGCATTCTGAGCTGAAGGCTGTGGTGGAATTTGATTTTATTTAATAGGAGGCTTGGGCCGTTGCATATACCCCAGCAAGCTCTGCTTCTCTGTGCAGTGGGTGATTGATGACTTGCTTTGGGGTACCTGAGAACTCTTTATAAAAAAGAGCTTAGACTGAGGCAACTGCCAGTTGCCTTAAGCAATCCATGTTTGGTTCCAAATCTGTAGCAATTTTATTACATAATAATCTAGCATCGCCACTTTTGTATTACAGAGGCCTCTCCCTTCCCAGCTTCCATGGGGTCTTTCTAGGTCATAGCTCTCCCAGAAAGGTAACAGAAATAGCAGGTGAAAGTCAGAGGCCCCTGAATGCAGACAGGATCAAACTATATCCATTCAGAGCAATAAAGGGAGCATCATTAAGCCTCATTTGCTAAGAATTGGCTGCAAATTGTTACCATAAATCATATGCTTCAGAGCCAGGTTTGGACAGAGGTATTGATGAGGTGGTTAGAAGTAGATAAAGAACACCAGCACCCTTTGTCTTGGGGGCTTGTGATTTCTGTTTTCTGCCTGTGGCAAAATACAGTGGAAAATGGAAGATTTAAATCAGTGAAGAAAGAAGTATGGCAGATAAAGTCTTGCAGTTCTTTGTAGCACTCTGAACTGAGGGCATGTCCCAGAGACTGACTACCTGCTAGCAAAGAGAGCTGAGGAAATAGAAGGACAACACTCTGGAATTGTTTCCTGAATGCAATAGATGTTCATTTCCAAAGCAGATAATAGGCAGAAACAAACACAATGTGACTGAAGGGAGTACACAATAGAACGAATTGCTTTCCATGTTTGTATGTAGTGCCAGCTAATTTATGCAGCAGTAAAGCAGGTCCCAGTCAGTGATGAACGTGTACCCCTGAGTGGCAGTTCTGGTAACTGATTTATAGCATACTTAACTGTTTTATTAACATCTTCCCTTCATTTTTTATTACAATGTCAATTTTGACTTTTGCATTGTAATTTTGCTGTGTACATGTAAGATATCCTGTCTGACATTGTCAATATTTCCTTTTGGATTATCCTTGGAGAGCTATTCCGGCTCATGGGTCTGCCGCAGAGAGTTATTGCAGTAGCTGCTGAACGCTGCAATGCTGCGTCAGCATTCTTCATTCTTTGAACTGAGTGTGCTGAGATGGCACTGACACTTCTGAATTTATGCATGACCCTTGCTCTCTTTGCAAATCATTCTAGCTCCCCTGGGAAAGAGAATGTAACTCAAACATACCAGATCTACTACTGATTGTCATTCCAGTAAGGAGCATTTATGCACTAGAGTAACAAAAGGCCAAATTATATTATGTGGATGGCTGCAAAGTTCCCTTTATTGATTGAAGAAGATAGATGAATACTTTCCTGGCTGAGTTTTTTCATCAAATATAATGGACCACCTAATCTCATCTTCACTCTTGTCATTGACCTTTCCCTTGTAAATTATGATTCAGCTTCCCGTTTTGAGAAGGTAATTGAATCAAGCATTCTTCTATTAGTCTTGCCATTTAGCACTTTTTGTTTGGATCTCTGAAAGGATTAGGGATTTATGTGTTTGGATTTTAGACCTCATTTGTTTCCAAAAGGATTTCGGGTGGTTTACAGATTAAAATATACAGACATGAAGTGGGGAACCAAAAAGGTAAATGTTACCAAGCAGCAGGAATCAGCCAGTAAATACAGTGGAAAATAAACATAGGCCTTAAAAGCTTTGATATATATAGTGGAAAGGGAAGCGTGGATAATAGAGTTTTCATTTTTGACAAATGAAATCTTACAGTTACCCATAGAGACTCATTTTTGTGTGAAATAACTCACATTATTTTTATCATACGAATCCTTCTACTAAGAGTAGAAAGTTACATAGTTAGCAGTATCTTTAAAAGGCTCAATTGTACTACTCCCTACTGCGTATGACTGCTGTATCTCCATCTATGAAGGCACCTTGCCCAGAGAAGCTGGGAGATTGTGGCCCAGCTACTTAGCTTTATGACGTTCTAGTTGTGTAGGAAAGAACTTGGCATGTATGCCACAGATCAATGACTGGTTAACATGTCCGTTAGACTGCCTTTCTCAAATATCAGGTATTTTATACAGGGTTTTGACAGATATTGGACCACATTCAGAACTCTATTAAATCATACAGAAGGTTACTTTAAGATATTCTAATGTTTGTATAAAATGAGAGCAAAGCTTTTAGATACTTGAACTACTAAACGTGTTCTTCTGCACTTATACACAGAACAAGAATGTTGGTAGGAAAGTAAATTAGTTTAGCCACTAATTGGAAAGCAGTTTGCGATTTCTCAAAGAACTTAAACCAAACTACCATTCAACCCAGCAATCCCACTACTGGCTATGTATTAAAAAGAAAATAAGTTGTTCTACCAAAAAGACACATGTGTTCACA